TTCTGATTCTCCCTAGAAAGGACATAGATTTTGTTCAAGGCCATTCCTTTCTGGATCCAGGGCTTAATATTTATCAGATCGTGCATCATTTTTGGCTCTTTTGCTATATGGGGAAAAATTATCTATATAAACAAGTCAATGATCTCAATCCATTTTAAACAAAAGTCTTCTAAGAAAAATTAAATACCAACAATTACTGATTCTTAATCCCATGAACTTCCCAAGAGCTGATATGGAAGATACTAGGGGCATCTTTGCTGCTTTAATGCCAACATTTTAACTGGATGCATTAAGTACTAAGGGAGGATTGTAGAATGAGGTGAGCTCATTGTGTGATATGCTGAGTAAGATAGGACAGATGACATTATACTAGCAATAAGGTATCTGGCATGGAAAAGAACACAGACTACTGCTAATTATTCTCAAGGCTGTGTGTGATGATGAGCTAATACCTCTTCCTTAATACTTCATGGATATATACTATTGTGGTACAAACAATTTGCCATCGTTACTTTGGTATGTTCATTCCCTTCTCTGTGTTCTATATTCCCTAGCTTCGGTTGTTGGTGATTACCTAGAAAACTCTTGCATGACATCAGATACAACCAAAAATTTTATGTTGAGCATTCTTTCTCTGTCTCTTTTTCCCTCTTCTCTGTCTCATTATATTTCTCCTTCTTGCCCCTTCCATTCCCTGTGTTTGACACTCTGTCTCTCTCTCCTTCCCCACTTACCACGTGTCCTTCCTTCTCCTTCATCCCTTCTCCTTCTACCTCCTAAAGTTATTTAAAGCCTGAAGACAATTTCATCAGAGTTTAAAAGAAAATAGTACAAAGAATTGAGTGAGGGAAAACTGTAAATCTTGTTAGCTGCCCAGGAGGAAAATTAAGATGGGAAAGAAGGTATGCTATTTGAGATAAGTCAGCATGAAGCTCAGTTGCATGGTGAAAGAGGTGGAATGAGAATTCCCCCCATAGGTTCTGGGATTTGACTACTTGATCCAGAACTAGTGTTGCTATTTGGGTAAGTTTAGGAAGTGAAATATTGTGGACTACTAAATTACTTTGGGTGAAATTTGAACTTTCAAAGCCATGTACCATACCCTTTAGGGGTCGCCGTTACACGCCACCCACCTCCCAGGAGTTTCATATTGTCCTAGGGGTTAAAACACAAGACACACATACACAGATACAGAGTTCCAGTCATCCTCAAGAAGAGAATGCCCAATTTATTCAACTTGATCCAGGGTTAAATACCTTTGGCCCTAGTAAAGGAAAACTCCTCCCACCCAGAGGGACTGGGGAAACTGGCGTCTCTGGGAGCTTCTCCCCAGGCAGGTGGTCGAGGGTTCAAGGCAATGTCAGACAGGTAAGATGGACCATGGCCGTGAGCTTCTTTCAGGCAGGTTGAGAAATTACCATTTTAAAGTAAAATAGATCCCTCAGGCTATTGCACCAGGCTGTAGCAGAAGCAAGGATGGAACTTAGCAGGAAGCTTAGCTGGTTAGCGTAAACATTACTTGCATCCTGTGTTTTGGCCTCAAGGAACAGGGAGGACAGGGCTCTACAAGTTCCCCTTTTATATAAAATATGATGACTAGCACCTTGTCTTAGGTGGTGATGGCCAGGCAGACTCTTTATCCGTCGTGGAAAAAGTATTTCAGGTCAAAATACATTTCTGTCTTAGGTCAGAGTCTCCTACCATTCAATCCTTACCCGTCTTTGGCTTACTAGTCATACATAGAGTCCAGCCAGATTTATACTGAAAGATATTTTGAGGCGAATGCCAAAAGGACTTGACCTGAGTAGTCCTGACTCTGGCTTCATGAGATTATGAAGGTCACGTTCCAGCATATACAAGCATTCCCAAAGGAGATTGTGCTTTGGCATAATCCTGAAAAGTCTGCTCAGAATAGAGCCCCTTTAAGTAAGGTCTCAATTAACACTGGTGTAAGGTCCCTGGAAAGCTAACTAGAATAAATGACAGCCAATTAGTAAATTTTGTATTCCAGGGGCCATAAAAAACAGTAAAAATCCTTTTCTGTGACCAGCAGAGGTCAAAAAACCATATCCAATCTGTCAAGATTAACCTTAGTATCCAATTCTTAATTTGAACAACCATGGCATTTTGTAACCTGCCTTGAAGATACCCATAGTGCTCAGTCGAAACAGCTGACAGGATAAGAAAAACTGATAGCAAGCAATAACTGCCAAATCAAGGGGAAATCCAGCAGTACAGCAATTGTACAGCAACAACAGTACAGTAAATGTATAGTAATAACAGTACAGCAATAACTGATAGATCAAGGGTAGGAGCTGGGGGAGGAAGAATCCAGGCACTGGATCACTTTTCAGGAACCTGCCAGCTCCGCAGCAATCAGGTCAGACAGCTCCATAGCAGAGGCTTTGTCCTCAGGCCTCTGGACAGATGAATCCACAGCCAGCAAAACAGCAGTACCCAAATGGATGTCAGAGTTTCTGTAAGAGACACGAACAATCTCCTTCCCCAAATTAATGCATGAACTGGACCACATTGTATATTGGGAGTAACAAAATACTCAGAACAAAACTTAGTTTAGCCAGCACTGATACTGGTTGGTCTTGAACTTAAGAGACTTGCATGTCTCTGTTCCAAAGAGCAAATCCTATTGGCCTGCGCCACTGCAACCGGCCTTAATATTGGGCTGAATAGCCAACCTCAAAACATCTTTTTTTATTGGCCTGCACCATTGTAGCAGGTATTTGAATTGGGCTGAATGGCCAGCCCCAAAACATCTTTTAGAATCAGCTTTGCCTGGAACTTTTCCAGGGGCAGAAATTAATTATCTGATCCAGTACATGAGCACTTACACAACTGGATAGAATTATTAAAATTGTTATCTTTATGGGGGCACATTGCCTCCCGCTAACATTTAGAGAAATAATTAATAGGATCGACATATCTTGCTATAGATTTGGAAAATCTTTATCAGTCATCAATCCATATAAAAAATATAAGGACTCCATAAATTAGTCCTCTAGAGAACAATTAATCAAATAAAAATATATGCAATAAACCTAAACTGAAAACTCTCAATAGATGAACTTAAAATGACTGAAAGACATTCAAAAAAATCCTCAAATATAACATCTTTAATCATTGGAGAAATGTGAATCAAAATAACTCTTGAGACTCTATCTTATCTCTATATCATGATCAAGATCAAATACTGTTCATAAATTATACTTAAGAGAAACTCCTCCACCACTGGTGGAAATGCAAACTGGCACAGTCACTTTGGATCCTAATATGTTGAAATCTCAGAAAATCAGGCAACAAACCATCCCAAAATTTAGCTAAACCCGGGCCCTGTGAGTCCCGCACTCCACGGGTCCTGTTTGTAACTCTCTCTCTATGGCTTTAAGTGTACAGGGCGCAATTTTAATTTGTACCCGAGCCTCTGTGCTCCGGCCGCCTTTGCGCAGCCTGCCCACATTACCATGGAGACATGACTTACCTCAGATGCCTCTGTCGACTCCAGCAAATCCTACTGGCATGTGCCACCACAACCATTACCGCGCCCTGTTTTAGGGGCAACACGGTTGGTCCCTGCTGCAATACCCCCTCCCCTGTTTGATGATTGAGATGTGAACCTTGAACATCTGTTCTTGATCCCTGTCTGTGACTTCTTTATCCTGATAGAACCATAATCTCCCTATGAACTCTTTCTTCTATGAGTTTTTTGTTGTTGTTGTTGTGTTGTTTGATATAAGTAATAGAAAAGTAACTAATGCTGTGGACAGTTAGTCGCTTGATAAGGAGGTGAGCTCTAGGGGAATAGTGAAGAAACACAAAGACTAGAAAAAAGGTAGATTTTGGGATCTGGTGACTATGTAAATAAATAAGCAATGTGAGAGAAAATGTTGTGCAATTCTAAGTAAGTATGGAGAAAAGTGAAATATCCCATCTTAATTTCCTATCTTTAAGCAGAATCAACTGTTTCAGGTTTGGGATCTAACAGAACTTGCTAACACAGGGCCTGACATAGGATTCTGCTATCAAGGTCTATGGCCATACCACCCTTAATGCACCCAACTTAGTCTGCACAACAAGCTGAGTTTCTGAGATTTCTCCTGGAGAGCAAGTATAATTCTGGCCTTCTTACCGAAATCTTATAAAAAGAATGATGCTCTGATATTCTCAGAATATGATCCCTGTAAAATAATTTTGTGGGATATTGTTTGTTGGTTGGTTTGCTTTTGTCTTTCATGCATGTTGTCATATAATTTCATTGGCATTTTAAGACTAATGTAAGATTTTAAAGATGGACTCAGTGTATACAAAGGAAGGCCGTCATGCTGATGATATATAAAGGTCACATCCAAGGATTTTGACAAAGACCAAACCATATGTTTGTATTTCTAGGCTTCCTTCAAAATATCTGGGAAGGCTTACGAAGTAAAGAGGAGTGTCTGGAGAAATACGGACATGTTTCTGTATATTTCAAAACAATGCTAAGCCATTGTGACTGTTTCTATTAGTTTGTTCTGAGTCTAGGGATCCCTAACAGACTGCTTCATAAATGTTCATTCACTGCACTTTTTTTTAGCAATTTACTAGAGTTAAAACATTTAGAGTATGAGAGAAGAGAACCATTATACACCAAATAGACATTACTGTAGATTTTTGGTAAATAAGCATGAGAGCATTAATCCCACTTCAGTAAACTCAAAGAAGAATATTCTCATGTCCACAAGTCTGTACACATAATATTTGATTTTTCATATACATTAATTTTACAGAGCAGTGCTCTCAATGCAATCCCTGCCTTTAATCTCTTTCACAAGGAGCTCAGGAGCAAGAACTATGATCTATCCCTTTGAGTAATAAGAAGAAAATATCCAAAAGGTATGATAGCTAAGAATATCAAATGATCCTTTCCAAAGCCTTAAACTAGCCTAGTTAGCAAGAAAGGAAAGTAGTTCCTGTTTTGCTTCCTCATTTGTCTGGTTCACTGTGCTCACCCGTATTGTCCTCCAATGTTATAATCTGCACCACAGAAATAGATAGCTTTGTCTTCAGGCTGAATGTTAGAGATGCTTAAGTAACGATGAGCCCCAGAGCTGGAGCCAGAGAAGCGATCAGGGATCCCATCTCCCTTTTCCTGGTTTCCATTACTTTTAAGCCACATCAGATACTTAGGAGCCTTCTCTGGCTGTTGCTGGTACCATCCAATGCCGTAGTGGCTGTACTCACTATTCAAGGTGCAGGTGAGTTTGACTGAGGCTCCCAAGGAGGCCGAGGCTGAGGGTGACTGAGTCAGCACAAGTTGGGAGAAGGACCCTGGAAATAGAGAAACACATTACCTCCTGGGGTGAAAGAAGAGGGGAGAATATACCTTGATGTCAGTTGGTTTCCCTGAATTGGCATCAGTGTGCAGATGACTCTTCTTACCTGTACAATGAAGGAGGAAGAAGAGGAGAGGAAACCAGGCCATGGTGCAGACACCACTGAGCTCTGCTGAGACAGACATGTTTTGGGTCTCTCTTATCCTTTAACATTTCTCAGAGAACTGTCAGGGCCCTTCATGCAAATATGCAAATTTGTCTTGGTCAAGTAAATTCCTTCTTAGGTGTTTGCGCCATCAAAAGTCTCGGTGTCACTTTCCTCTTGAGGTTTCCCAAAAATCACAGTAGGCACAATGCTGGGTCTATTGAATCATAAACAGTCACAAAGAGATAGACGCTTGTGTTATCAGCCTATATTCTCCAGATCCTTCGGTGGAAACATATGGACCCCACTGAGCAGGTTTAGGTCTTTCATGTCTGTGAGCACCATGCTTTCGCAAGGCTTGGACTACTAAGCACTTTCTGATTAAGGTCAGAAATAGTAACCTCCTCAGAAGCTGACTTTTATATCTTTGCTTTTTTTCCCCAGTGGGAACACTATGTAGATGAGTGTTCTTACCCTATGTGTTAGGGCCCTCACAGGACAGAGGTCATATTTAAGACATTCTGTCGATTAAATATTACATTATGTTAAGTAAAAGTAGAAAAATACAGTTATGAAACAGTAATGAATGATTTTATGGTTGGGATTCATCACAAAGTTTGAAAGTGTATTAAACCTCAACACAATTGGAAATTTGAGAAACAAAATTATAGATGTTAATTTATAAGGATTTCTTTTTTAAGGGCTTTTTCTACCTATGCTGAGGTCAGGGAAATTTACACCATGAGCTTCTTCTCAGAATGCTCAAGTTGCCAGTCTTATTCTCTGTACTTAGTTCCTCAGCAGATTGATCCATAGAAGTACACTGATGTATATTAGTATTTAGGATAATAAATATTATGCTGTATGACTCTCTTGATGCATTATAAATAAAAAATTGAAAACTACATGGCCATATAAAATAAAAATATAAAGAAGAAGTCAGGGAAAGAACAAAGTCTCTATTTGTTTTTTAGTAACAATTAGAATGTATTAATGAAAAATGACTTTTGTGATGGTTTCCAGGACACTCATGGGAACCTGCCTACTAGTTGTCTAATATCAAAATACAGTATTTAACTGGCAGGGATTTAAGGGCATGGAAGTTAAGAAAAGAGAACAGCTCTAAATTGGAGGCAAAAATTAAATCATGATAAAGAAGTCACACAGTATATTGTGGAGAAGCAAGTGGAATGTCAGGACCATGTGGGTTTGCTCAAGTTTCCTTTAACTTATACACAGGTAAAGAAACTATCTGGATTGTTTTTGTCAAATTCTTATCCACCAGGCTCATGGAATATGCAAGAGAGTAGGTGGGTGGTAAGTGCCTTGGAGCCAGGTATGATGGATGACTCCAAGGAAACAGCATCTTTAGGCACAACAGGACTGAGTCACATGTGAAGTCATAGAAACTATGAAAGCAAGCACAAAAGACTAGCACAGCTTCAAATCAGACAAAATCCAAGCACCAAGAAATAGAAGAAGACATATTGTCATAACATTAGTTGTGAATTTATTCATAATATGTAACTTTGAAAAGGAAAAATCAGTTATCTCCAATCAAGTGTCACTGAAATATCAAACACACTCCAGGGCAGGCCTCATAGTAAGTGGTAGTTAGTCAACAGTAAACAGACACTATGATATTTGTAAGTGTGTGTGTGTGTGTGTGTGTGTGTGTGTGTGTATACGTCTATATGTTTGCACTTTTTGTTTTGTTTATTTTGTCTGAATGATTTTCTCATTTTACTTAATCTAATTTTTGTTTTTTATTTTTGTTGTTGCTTTGTTTTTTTGTGGTTTTCAAGTATATTTGGTTTGAAAGAGAAAGAATATGAAGTTGGGTGGTTAGGGCGCTGGAAGGATCTGGGGATAGTTGGGGGAAGGAAAAGAATACTATCAACATATATTGTACGAAATAAATTTTTAAAAAGTAAAAAAAAACTTGAAGACAAAATATTGACAAAAGCAATAGAAAGGAAGAAAGGAAGAAAGAAAGAAAGAAAGATTTAAGACTGAAAATTATTTAATGTTAGAGTTTAGTTGTAGTCTAAAGCAAGGAATATGTGCCATAAAGCAAAAAAAGTGTGTCAATAACTTTAGGAATAAAATCTCAGTACAGATTAAAGAAGTGTGCACAAATTCAGATATTCTTTACAGATCATTAAAGAAAAGAAAGGAAGGAAGGAAGGCAGGGGAGAAAAGGAGGGAAGGATAAAGGAAGAAACAAAAGAAGCTTGGGTTCTGTAATTTCTCGATGTGTATGTACATTATATGCTACTCAGAAACTTTGAGACATCAAGATGGCTCAGTACATGAGGATGCTTTTCAAGCCTCACAATGAGAGTTGATTCTTGGAAGAAATGAGTCAACTTACAACTTGTACTGTTCTTGTCATATTCATGCTGTAGTATTTACACACACACACACACACACACACACAAACACACACACATTCAATCATTAATCAAATATTAATTAAATAAATAAACACATATTTTTAAAATCTTTTGATTCTTTCATGACTATTTTGTTACTCTTTTCTGCCCACCTGTTGTTCTTATTTTATATTAGTCATTACTTTGGGATTACTGACATTCAAATATTGATGTGAGTTACTTGGGAAGGAGGACTCCACAAGTGAAGAATTCTAGACCCCAATTCAGACCTGGAGATACAGGATTCATGTGCATGTTGAGATTTAATTAGTATTGAACTAACACAGACTACAAACTATTGAGGTTCATGTTACAAACTTTCTCTTCTTCTGTTTTCTGCTTCCTACCACCACATGGAACAAAAGAACTTCCTGACTCCAAGTCTGTGAATTATATAACAGGATTAGCTTTCTTAAGATTTCCCACAAAAAATGAAAAAAAGACATGCTTATCCCTCAGTGCTACATAGCTAAGCAAGTGTTCAAATTTGAATTTTAATAACAATGTAATACTTGTGTGATCTCAATTTACAGATGGATGCCATTGAAGAAAAGGTATCTTCTAGAAGCTTCACTACTTTGTCCTTGCTTACAATACTAAAATATTGAAAGAGGAGACATGTGTTTATGATTTAAGACTGAAAATTATTTAATGTTAGAGTTTAGTTGTAGTCTAAAGCAAGGAATATGTGCCATAAAGCAAAAAAAGTGTGTCAATAACTTTAGGAATAAAATCTCAGTACAGATTAAAGAAGTGTGCACAAATTCAGATATTCTTTACAGATCATTATCTTGTTTGTTTGTTCCTTGAGATGGCAGCAACCACATACCAACATATAAACAGAGGGTTAATACATGTGGCTTGTGTTATCACAAACTAATTTCTGGAGGACAGATTTGCAAATGGACATACTGAGATAAGCACCCTATGGCACCTCTCCCTTCCCTCCTTGTTGCTTTTGTTAGTGAACAATCTTAGGCTATCGTTGGTCAGCAGTGACAAAGTCCTCTATGTGCATCAGTCTCCATGCCAATCAAATACTACCTCTCTGTGTCCTCAAAGCCATCTTAGGAAAGTGCAGGGACTCACTGTCCTTCAGTATGAGTTCATTTGACCAAACACATCTGCAGAAGTACTTACAATCTTATAATGAGATTATATACAATGGTACTCAGATTTATCACATCCCCTTATCTTCCCCAAGAGGAAGAATGTTAATCTTATGTCACAGAAGAAATTATTTCATACATATTACTATAATATAATATAAAATATTAATATATCATATGGTATGTATATTTATTATATATGTAGTATATGGTATATTGATTATATTGTTTTATATAATATAACTTATATTGATATAGTAATTATATAGTGTTATATTTGATAATAATGTATGTTATTATATGTAATATATTGTATATTATTTTATCACTATATATTAAAAATAATATATAATTTCATAGTTTAAAAACTATACAATGAATTTCATTTTTTCAAATGAAAAATAATATACCAATAGTTATAAAATGTGAATGGACTGTTACTCCACTTTCATCTAGTTGTAGAAAAACATCACAGAGACTGCTTCTGTTGACTTGTTGACTCTAGTCATACAAGCAAATTAATCTATGATAGGAATACAAATTTTACTTCAGGTTTTATGTGTTTATTCTCAATTACAACAGTTGAAGAACATTTCCATTTTTTATCCTAACTAGGACACAAATGAAGGAAGGTGCTTCCCTTTGTCTTCTTCTCTGTGGAGATTTAACATTAGGATGGCAACAGTGCCTGGCCATGAAATCTCGTTATCACAGGACAGAGCCTATACACCAGCTCAGGCAAATGTGCATTTATACTTTTCTTCTCCATCTGTGTCTCACTATGGTGAGCACAACTTTGGGGTATCTTGTAACCTCAAAGCACCAGAACAAGATTATATTTAAGGTTAACAAGTGACAGAAGAGCGAATGCTTCTTAATAGTTAGGTGAATCAGAACCTAGAGGCTTGACCAGGCTACTCCTGGAACCAGTGTGGAAAGAGAAAATTGGTAACTGCTAGAGACCCTTATACCTCAGCATCAGTACAGATTGGGAGGAGACACTGAAAGAAATGATTATTAGATTTAGAAATGAAGCAAGGAATGAGAAGGCTCATTCCAAAAACCTTTTTAATCTCCATGAAATTTGAAAGAAAAGAAGGAAAGATGCAGGGATAAGACAGTCATCCAGGTTCTGCTTTGTAGTAGGAGCGGCAGGCCGCTTCCCACCACCCACCCGGCTAGCTTTACCCAAAATAATTACACAGAAACTGTATTCTTTTAAATATTGCCAGGCCCATTATCTGTAGCCTCTTATTGGCGAACTGTTACATATTGATCTAACCCATTTCTAGTAATCTGTGTAGCACCAGGAGGATTCTAACCTGCGGCTGTCTTGGAGAATAGAGTCATGGCGACTGCCTGCCTCTGTTTCTTTCTCCCATAATTTTGTTCTGTCTCCTCCACCCACCTAAGGGCTAGCCTATCAAAAAGGCCAAGGCAGTCTCTTTATTAACCAATGAAAGTAACAATAGACAGATAACCCTCCTCTATCACTGCTTTAGATCTCTACAGATCCCAGGATGCACACATGCTGCTCGACTCTGTGGT